CAGCCAAATACACCACCACCCCCATCGCCGCACCCCCCTCGTGTTTTCCCAGCAAAAACAGGAGGTGGAATACCAACCACTCAGACCGATGCCACAGGGTCAGGTCTGGAATGAGAYGGGCTTCCAGGTCTTACAAGCAGCACAGAGAAACACTAAACCATCTACACACAGTGACAATATAAAAAAATACACAAAGGTTGTAGATAACTCAATTACTTCACAACTTCTACTGGAAAGTTTGGTTCATGTGTGCAAGCAAGGTTTAAATTCAGCTGTAATTTAAAATGTTTACATTCATGTCCATGCTTGCGTTCTGCAGACACAGGATGTTAAACATCTGTGTGCAGCTCTTCAGAGTATTTCGTCTGCATTTAGGTAAAAGGAAAATAATTGTGTGCACAAAAGAAATGTGAAAACAGAAATGGCAAAACATTCGGAAGAAATGCACAATATAAAAGGTAGAATAACAGAAATGACTCAGCACGTAGATGAGGTGCATTGATGAAAGGTTTTACATTTGCCATCAAAACWTGTCTAACCTTAACCCTGCCCTAGTTATACTGGAAAGAAGCCTGGAGCAAACGTTTTTGTCAGGAAGAATTTCAGGTCCATAATATGTGTGTAAGGGGTCCATAAGTTCACACATATAGAACCTTTATAATCACTCTTCTGGTGCTGCAAAGTGCTTTATATTGACCCATTCACACACATTCATTACTTTTAATTATATAATTTATGCAATAGATACTCCTCTGCACAAGTAAGCGTATTGGGGGCAATGTGTTGCCCAATGACGTTTTGGGACACTGCAGAGCCTGGAGCTCAACAACCAGATTACACCTCCACAAAGCCACCCCCAAACTGTGGGCTTAAAATGACCTCGCTTGTTGAAAAAATTGTAACAGTCCTGATTTGTTGAGGTGCGATAACTTCAGTCAGGCCAAACCAAAAGATTTTGCCTTATTTCAAGAAACAAGATGAACGAATATATCCTTAGCACAAAAAAGTAAGGAAAGTTGTGTTTGGTATATGTCTTTGTTGTAACAATGCTTCTTGACAATAAATCTTATAACACGTAGAGGTACCTGATTGGCAGCACCTGCAGTACCAGAAGATGAAAACAAGCATCTATAAAAACAGCAAAATAAGCTGTTTGACAGAAGAGATTTGACAAATTTTTCATGTGCGCAACCCACATACTGTACTTAGCTCTGCTGCTCATCACACAAATGCATGTTCCTTACAAATTTGGCACCGGTTAAAAGGGGAATTAAAAGGCTTTCCATCAATATAAGATTTATAACCAAGAAGCGTTGCTGCAACAAAGATATAAACTACCAAACACAAATTTTCTTACTTTTTGTGCTAGGTTTATGCCCCTTCTAACTCCTTCTCAATTTTTCTTAAACCATTTTAAACTGCTGTTGTTTGTTGTTATGTGTTTGTTGTTGTTGTTGTTGTTGTTGTTATTGTGTGTGTGTGTGTGTGTGTGTGTGTGTGTGTGTGTGTGTGTGTGTGTGTGT